CATTACTCAGTTAACAATCTTCTGAAGTCCATTTTTATACAATGAACACATGAATGAACTCTTGAGGTAAATAATTCAAATACAGAAATGTACAGTGAAATCTTCCAAGTGTTATATTTCTAAGACCTTCTCTTAAGCTTTTATATGACATATTTTTAATATCCAAGAGCAGACTTTTTTTTGAAAAAGTGAAATCATAGTCTATGTGTTTATGTTTTATTTTGCTTTATCCACTTAACATCATTCAGAGAATTTTCCAGGTTGGTATTATTTTGGAAATAAGTACTGTCTAAAATTCTAAACTATTACTCATAATTTATTTAACCAAACTTCAACTATTGAACATTGACGTGGTTTCATTTTTGTTCTTGCCTTTATTTTTGTTTGCTATCATAAATAATTAGCTGTGTATACACATCCATCTTGTCCATCCTTCTTTTTTTGTGTAAGTACTTATTTTCCAGGATAGATGCCTGAACATGGAAACACAAATGTGTGTACATTACAGAGCTGGAAGACATTACCAGTTGCCCACCAAAGACAGTCTTCCTCCCCATCATGAGGAGACATGGATTCTCATACCTGGTTTACAATACATTTGTAAACTTACTTCCCCAAGTTAAACTTTTAATAGGTATTTCAAGCTGGACATTCCCCACTGCCCTTGGGAGGTCTCTTGCTTGGCAGTAGGGGGCAAAACGTACTTGGCACAGTCACACAAGGAAAAGTAATCGGCAGACGTTATATAAGACATGATGACCAGGTGCTGCAGCTCTGGCCCTCTGGTTTCTGGGAGGAAGCAAAGGATCATGATGGCCTGTCATCATTTTGCTGCAGCAGCATTTCAACGCAGGAGTCGCAAGATCGCTCAGGAGGAGCTGCCTTCAGTAACAATGAGGCTGTTGATCTTCAATAAGCACATCCGGGGTGTCCTTAGCATCTGTGGTCTCCCAGAACCCACGGGCTCCCTTCCATCAGCATCAGTCATGTCCCAGGTGAAGAAACGGAGGCCCAGAGAGTGTCCACACTTGGCAGATACTTCAACTCCACCTCAGTCCCACTGATGCGGAGGGATCTCCAGAGGGGGGATGTCTCCAGTGGGGGCCCAGGAGAGCTCCCCAGGTACTGTTTGTACACATGGGAGTCAGGAACATGCCACCTGTCTAAGGAAATCTTTCCTTCTTCGTGAAAAACCAAACCAAATACATGCCCCACGAAAAGTAGATTTCTAGCACTCTGGTGATGATCATGAATTGGGGGTTTGGCAAGTTCTCATGACATTACCACTTGAAAGGTTCAGGTGTCCGCAGCAGCCAGCAGAGCAGCAGAACAAACCGGGAGGAAACCTCGTGGGGTCTCCTTGGGGAGCCAAGGGGCGGCCCTGAGGTTGGAAGCAGCTAATGCAGCCTGGAGAAAGGGGGTCCTGCAGGGTGCTTCTTCCCCTGCAGGTGTGTTTCCACAGGTTGGAGCCCCTAGACTACCCTTGTTGGGATTTTAAGCCTGCCTGTCTCTAGGGGGATAAAAATGTGATTTTCTCTTTTCTTCTGAATGTGTATACATATATAAAATACCACATGGTTATTACATATCTAAAAATGAAGCTTTGGAAAGTCGTAATTTTGTCTCTCAATTCCTACGTCACTTTCCAGTTCCCTGTCTCCTGAGCTTCCTAAGAGGGAACCCCAAGAGGGCAGGAGTGGGAAGGGAGAAGAGCTGGCGACTAGAAGAGAGGACAAGAACCCAGGCTGAGGAGGGTGAGAGAGAAGCCGTCCAGGACGGTCAGGGCCACTGGGCCTGACACGGGAGGACTGTGACATCCGTCACCATCCTCAGCCCCACTCACATCCTCCACCCCTGTTTCTGCTTGCTCAGCTCCTGTGAGAAAAACACCAAGTCATAGGAATCTTACAGATTGCTGGTGGGGATGGGTAGGGAGAGAAGACCATAACGTAGGCAGATACCACACAAGAGGAAACAGACTCCTCTCATCTGGAGAGGGCCGGTGGGAGGGCTTTGTGCGGGAATGCAGAGAAACACAGGCCTGGTCCAGGGAGCTCCCAGGAACAATAGCTGGGTCCCCTGTCCTACCTAAGCTGCCCTGGCTCAGGTCCCACCCAGCAACCTGGAGAAAGCTCAGCAGGAAAGTGAAGTAAGCAGACACCAGCTCCCTGCTCTAGTGAGAAAAGGAAGTCTTGTGTAAAGAGAAAGAAAGCAAGGGCTCAAATTGTGCAACAGGTAAAGTCCCAGGTTGCCCTACCACGAGGATTCCCAGCTGTCACTTGTCATTTCTGGGAGAAGCCCTTCTTCAGGAGGTTACTCGGGCCTGCAGCCTTCCCTGGCGAGGCCTCCTCTGTGCAGCTGAGTCCCTCCCTTCTAGTGTGCTCACAGGCAGGGAGGGATGGAGGAAGGACTGTGCTGTGAGGGAGGAGGCCAAACGCTGGCCCTGGCCCTGCTCGCTCTCTAATAATGAGGCCAGAAACAAGGCATGGCTCAGTTGTGGGGTCCCCTGACAGATGAGAGAATGGATCCTTCTCCAGAGGAAACCAAGAACCCCCACCTCCCACAGCGACAGGCGTCCTCAGAAGGGGCAAGTCTCCTCTCACCCTGGCCGCGGGATTTTGTTCCCCTAGTAAAGCCTCAACCCTCATACTCAGCTGCTGCAGCAGACCTTCCTCCCAAGATGCAGCCCCTCAGTATAGCCCACCCTCTTGGGGAGTGTCCACCACACCCTGAGTTTCTCCTGCAGGGAAGTTTCTCACCCTTTAGAATGTCCCATTCCCCTCCTCACTGAGCTGTAGGGCGTCACCATCAGTGACTCTTTGGCTGGTGATTAGTTTCCCACTGCTGCTATAACAAATTACCTCAAGGTTGGTGTCCTAAAAAACACATCTGTTCCATTCACATTCTGGAGGCTGGAAACTCAAAATCTGCCTCACTGAGCTGAAGTCAGAGTATCCACAGGGCTCTGCTCCTCCCAGAGACTCTAGGGGAGACACCAGTGCCTTGATTTCCCAGCTTCTAGAGCCTCTAAAGCCGAGTCCTGCTTTACTCGGCTGTGGCCTCTTCCCCAGCTTTGAAGCTAGAAAGTTCATTTTTCTGTCTGAAGTATCATTCATTGACTCTGGAGATTAGGATGTGGCCATCTTGGGACTATTATTCACTCAGGCCTGAGGGTGATTCATTCGCTCTGGTAACCCCTTCCCTCAGAGAAGAGTTGGTTATCTTCCTCAAAGTCCAGACCCTAACTCTCCAGCCTCCCCAGGTGCCCCTCTTTTCACTCCATGTCTGAGAATATTCGAGGACAATG